GCGCTGTCAGTGGGCAGTGGGTTCTGGAGCGCTGTGTGTGGGCAGTGGGTTCTGGAGCGCTGTGTGTGGGCAGTGGGTTCTGGAGCGCGGGCAGTGGGCAGTGGGTTCTGAAGCGCTGTGTGTTTTCCTTGCAGCAGGAGGTGCCCTGGCATGGCGTGAGGGCCATGCCGTTCCCCAACGGCTCCGAGCTGCGCCCGTCCTTCGTGCTGGCGGCGCTGCCGGGGCCGGAGGGGGCGCAGGCCTGGGTGGCCGCGCTGCTGTGCGGCGCCTACGCGGTGGCCCTGGCGGGGAACGGCGCGGTGCTGCTGGCGGTGCGGCTGGAGCCCGGCCTGCACACGCCCATGTACCTGTTCCTCTGCATGCTGGCGGCCATCGACCTGGCGCTCTCCACCTCCACCGTGCCGCGCGTCCTCTCCTTCTACTGGTTCGGCAGCGGGGAGATCGGCTTCGGCGCCTGCCTGCTGCAGATGTTCCTCATCCACGCCCTGTCGGCCGTCGAGTCCACGGTGCTGCTGGCCATGGCCGTGGACCGCTACGTGGCCATCTGCCACCCGCTGCGCCACGCCGCCGTCCTCACCAACGCCGCCGCCGCCAGGCTCGGGCTGGCGGCGGCCGTGGCCAGGGGCGTGCTCTTCTTCCTGCCCCTGCCCCTGCTCCTGCTGCCCCTGCCCTTCTGCGGGCCCCGCGCGCTGTCCCACTCCTTCTGCCTGCACCAGGACGTGATGAACCTGGCCTGCGCCAACACCACCCCCAGCCTGGTGTACGGCCTGGCCGCCATCCTGCTGGTCATGGGGCTGGACGCCGTCCTCATCTGCCTCTCCTACCTCCTCATCCTCAGGGCTGTGCTGCGCCTGGCGGCCTGGAAGGAGAGGCTCAAGGCGTTCAGCACCTGCGTGGCCCACATCTGCGTGGTCCTGGCCTTCTACGTGCCCCTCATCGGGCTGTCCGTGGTGCACAGGTTCGGCAGGGACCTGGCTCCGCTGGTGCACGTCATCATGGGGAACGTCTACATCCTGGTGCCCGCTGTGCTCAACCCCATCATCTACGGGGTGAGGACCAAGCAGATACAGAGGACGATCCTGGGCCTGATTCACGTGGGTGGCAGAACTTCCCAGTGACCTGTGCTCGGCTGCTGTCCGTGACCTCACACCGGCCCACGTTTCATCCTCGGTGTCCGTGGTGCAGGACTGTCCTCTGTGTGTACTCCGAGGTGCTGCCGGGAGGCAAAAGGTAAATAGCGATTGTAAACTCCTTCCAAGAGCGTTTGCCCCCACCAAACTTGGAGAGAATCTACTACAGTGATCTAAACCCGACCCTGGCTGAGCAGGTTCTGCAATTGGAAGGAAAAGTGACTCCACAAACTGATAAAAATATCTCAACATTGCACTTCTTTGTTCCCATCTCACCTGTAACAGGGGCAGGGCAGAGTAGATGCTGCAGTGGTTTGGGGTGATTCAGTCAATTCATCATTTCCACATGTGGCACATTCCCATCCCAAAACTTTTTCCAGAAACTTTGGCTGTAGCATCAATGACCAAGTAAAATAATAGCAAGTTTCATTAGAGATGCACAAATGAGCTTCAGAAGAGGAACCTCCACCTCTGTGGTCTCATTCTGAGTTGTTGGGTGCTCAGTCAAGACCCCTCAGCCTTCTCGTAGCAGACGCTCTGGAAAAAAATTTCAGACCCAGAGTTATTGTCAGAAAGTGTAAAAATAATTTGTTGTTAATTATATTCAATAAAACAACATCATCTCAGGGGAAAAAAATAAGCAAGTTATAAATGTCAATTACAATTCCAAGCTGAAGGAAGTCTCATTTCCAAATACCTTTGACTCCACACTGGGAATGCCTAAGAGGTTATGAATTAAGTTCAGAATCTTCAGCTTCTCAGCTTTTTTAATACTTCATGGGTGTTGCCAGGAAACAGAGAACCCAACAACCATTGCTCTCCTTGTTCTCATGACTCTTTTACTGGTGGGCCACTACAACAAAGCTCTGTTAGTACAGTGCAAATCACCAAGACTTAGGAATTATGAAGAAGGACTGAGAGCAAACTGCATTTATTTTCATGCCATCACAGAATCAAGGGATGGTTGAGGTTGGTGGCACCTCTGAAGCTCATCTTCATCTCCTCTGAAGGTCTAACCCCCCAGCTCAAGCAGGGCCAGCAGGATAGTGGGTTACTCAGGACAGTGTTCAGGCAGCTCTTGAATATCTCCAAGGATGGAGACACTGCTTCATGTTTTGGGAAAGGCTGAAGGACCTGGGAAGGGATGTCATACAGTAGGATTTTACAAAGAATCACAAATGTAAAGAGTGGGCACTTCTGGGTTTTGCCCTAATGATTTTTGTCACTTTAAAAATAAACCTGTTTCTTTAGGGTTCTTTGGAGGTGCCAGGGGGGTGTAAGCTCTGATTTGCACCTTGTGCTTTTCACTGCCCAAAGCCCTGCAGAGCAGGAGCCCTCCCAGATAACCAGAGCAGCACTGGGCATTAGAAACGAGCTCTGCAGTGCAGCAGGAGGCCCATGTGCCCTTGAACTCTGATGTCTCCATCAGTAGCACCCAATCCCAGAGCCCCTGAGGTTGGAAAAGCCCTCCCAGCCCATGGGTCCCCCCTGAGCCTCCTTTTCTCCAGGCTGAGCTCCCCAGCTGCCTGCTAGGATGGACCCTTCAGGACACAGGACAGGTGCCAGTGCTGCTCTCAGGGGCAGTTTGTGCTGGTACTGCTTCAGTGCCCACGAAACACGTCTTGGTATAACCTTTTCTGCTAAATTAAACTCCATTTCATTTCAAAATAAATACTTTTCATTTAGGTGAGTTACAAGCAGTTGCCATCTGGGACTTCAAGGCAATTTTGCCCCCTGTCATTTTTGGCATATTCTGGTTTATTAGACCTTAGAAGGGTAAAAAAAAAAAAAAAAA